CGTTAGGGGAAGAGCGCGATCAGAATAATACGGAACACATTTCGATAAATAATTAACGGCTCCCAAAAATCTTACCTAAACTTTTTCTGTCTGAGGACTGAGGCATCTGAGAAAAGGCTTTTACTTTATTAGGGTCGGGCCTCATACCGTTTTTATCAAAAATATGTCCCAAGTAAGTAAACTCTTCAACCGCTATTTTGCATTACTTTTTATTAAATTTTAAATTAATTTCTCTAGCTCTTTGTAGCAACGTAACTAGTCTTCTGTCGTGTTCATGCTTGTTCCGACCCCAGACAATTATATCATCTATAAAACTATCTGTGCCCTCTAAATCTTCTAAAAGCTGCCTCATTTTAGCGTGAAATACTTCGGATGAGCAATTAATACCGAACGGTAAACGAAGAAATTGATATCGACCGAACGGTGTGGCAAATGTACACAAGTCTGCACTCTGCTCATCCAGTTGTATAGCCCAAAAACTTGAGTTGGCATCCAAGACGGAAAAGAAGCGTGCTCCGTGTAGCCGCGCTACGAGCTCCGACACTGTGGGCAGTTGGAAATGCGCACGTCGCACTGCACGGTTAAGTTCTCGTGGGTCTAAGCACACGCGAATCTCGTTGTCCTCCGTTTTGCGACTAGAACTAGTGGATGCACCCATTGAGTTGGGTGAGAAACTTTTCTTATTATACCTTGGTTTTCCATATTTTTAAGGCCATCTGTTAGACGTTCACGTAAACTTAACGGAATCTTCCTAAGATTACATATCACCGGAGGTACGGATTCGTCTAAAACAATATGATACTTTCCTGGAAGGCACCCAATACTACTAAATAAGTCATCATAGTCTGATATATTAATTTCATGAACTCGTTTGACTACTTCTCACACGACTGTCGTCCCAGCACGCTTTGACAATGTAAATCGGCAATTGCAAACTTTAAATTATAACAAACATTTTTATAAAAACATTATAAATAGCAAACGCCCTTTACTGGTATTATATTACCACTATATGATTCTAATTTAATACAATCATTTTTTATTATATTGGAATCAAAACCCAGTTGCAAAAATCTTTCAAAAGATAAAACATTTATATCCGCCCCCGTGTCCAATTTAAAGTTTTCGATACCGTTCTCAGAATATAATGTTTCGAACCAGCCATGTGAAGAACTTTCTTGACCATTTATGGTTGACATAAAAAACGATTCACAATCAATAGAACGCGTAACATCTTGATTTTGCTCAATGTCATATACACGGTTTAGCCGCCTTATTACTATTAAAATTCTGCTTACATACCCGAGCGACGTGACCTTGTTTACCACAAATGAAACACGTGGCGTAAACGGCCGGACATCGAGGCATTGCACAGCGCTTGAGTCCGCATCGCGGAGCGCCGAGAATCGCGGCGGCGCCTGTGCGCTGCGCGCCTCGTTGTCCTCTCCTTTGTTTGACACTATCTACCTGCACTACACTAGCACACATACCGCTAGTACTTAGCTGACGGCTACTCTCTTGCGAAATTTTTTCGGCCTGTCACAACTTCACAGCTTTGTCCAGGTCTAGGTCTTCACATTTACACCACACACAATTCGATCCTTTATCAGCTCTTCTTCTAAAGTTGCAAATTTACAATTTTTACTCAATAACCGCAATGGCGTAACATACTGCCGTATGTTTTCTCCTTCCTCTTGATTGCGAGTAAAAAATTTGTATCTAAGCAATGTAATATTAATTTTAGTTCCAAAATATTCATCAAATTTACTCAATATTACTTGCACATCATCGCAATCCTCTTCTTTAGTGAACGTAAAAGTTTGATAACTGTCGAATCCTTCTGAACCAATTAAATTGAGATGTAAACTTGCTTTTACTGCCGTCTCCGAGTCTCCGAGTGCACACCCGAAGCTTTCACAAATAATATGAATTGTCTCCACCTCTTCCAAGCATCAGCCCTGCTGACGGGTCCGCCTTCTAACTGTAATTCGTTAGATGGACGCGCATGCTCCATTGTAAATTGCAAGACGTAACAAGACACACGTTATAGAATTATTTCACAGTTTACTACTTCTCATAAATATTATGCTATGTATATATGTTGCAATTATTCTATTGAAGTCCTCGATTTTAAGCGTTTACTATGCTTATGACCCCACACCTGACACCATGTTGTGTTTGCAATAATACACGTTCGTTAGCAAGACAACAACTGATTTATTCCTCTCATAACTACCTACGTATACAATAATACAAATACCCACAACAAAGTTCATATAACCTTTGTCTACTCTTATGGACTCCTACTGTCGCCCACTCATTAAATGCCTTGCGATTGTTCAAGGAGAATGTTTTAGAAGTAAAATTATTATTAAATTTATTGCAAATAAGCTTAAATAATGTTCCATACAAAACTTTAAAATCTGGATTATTTTGGTATGAAAGTGATGGAAGTTTTTTTACTATGTTACTTCTAAACTTCTCCAAGCGACGTGCATTTACTGGAACAAACACTACTTTTTTGTTTACTTGCTTTTTATGAACATAAGGTAACAAAACTAATTGTCCACAGTGATCAGAGCTCAATTTTTGAATAATAAATTTATTGAACGGCTTAACATTTGTAAAAACGTTATCTATACATCATGTTGCACTAGATTCGGCAATACGCGTTGGCTCCAAAAATAAATTAAAAAGACCACAAGATATAAACAATGATCTAAATTTAATATTGGTGGAGGAAGCTTCTAGGAGATTGATATTAAAGTCTCCACATATTACAACAGATTTATTCTGTTTATTAAGCTTAGCAAAAACTTCCTCCAAATTTTTTTCAAAAGTATCATATAAAGAACATGAGGCTAAGCTTTCCATTGAAGTCCGTCGAGTTGGGGGTTGATATTTTACAGAAAGGTTACATTAATATAAGCGCACACGTAAAGTTTCAACATGCGGAAAAGCGTACTTTTTGAGAAAAAAAATATTGAAAATCAATTATTTTTATAATATTTACGTCAATCCTTACCACAGATTACATCGAATTCTCGCCACTGAACGTTCGTTTTCCGTATGGTTAAGTTGTCATACGTTCGGTAGCATTTTATTGTACATTTTACGTCATCTGCAACAGACATCGACTGCCTGTACCTCAATTACCAAGCTCTGACATACTGGAAGAGCAGAATAATCAAATTCCTCAGCAACCACTGCAGGGTGTCGGGGTTGGTGCAGAACAACAGCTCTTAGCTAGTGGTCGGCAACAAAGAGAATTTATTGTGCAACGATTGTGGTCTGCTCCTAGGCCATAATATTTATAAAAATAAATATATTATTGAATATACAAGATATATAAGCTTAAATATTTTTTTTTTGATAAAGATGATTTAATATTAAGCGTTTCAAAACGACCAGAAACATGGTTAAGGTGCACGTGTGTGCATCCACCGTTAAACTTTAACTGGCTGATAAGTAAAGAAAGAAGAAAATTGTATGTGTGATTGCATGCCAACAAGTTGAGCATAGTTTCGGCATCCTTAGAAACGTTCGCAGTATTTCGTTTATCTTTCCTTGTGGGTTTCAAGTAGTGATGCAACGGAAGTGTCATATCGGAAGCAGAAACATAAACAGATGTTAAAAATATTTTTTTGCAGAAACGGATGCGGAAACGGAAAAAATACTTATTTAAAAAATTACAAATAAAACTTTTAATTAACATTCAAAATTAAGTAGCGGTAAGTTATATTTTATGAAAAGTAGTTCGGCCGCTTTTACACCTAACAATCTGTTCCAGTGTTCTTCATATATTTTAAGTCCAGCTCCGATAAATAAATGCTCACTGGCGATGCTGATTTATGTACCACCTATACACCAAAACTAAATAGGCACTGAAATTTGGTCAAACCCTTTAAATAGCCACATTTAGATTAAGTGAGTAGGTAATTTAGTACAGCCCTAGCATGAAAGAACGACGTAAATAAACTTTGAATCCAAAATACTCATTAAAGTTTCTTCAAAAATAATTAATATAAAGTTCAAGTAAAAAATAAATAATATAAACTTCACGCAAACATAACTGCTACCTAATTAATTTTCAAATCTAAATTGTAACAAAGGCATTTATTAAAAACTATTTTTAACTGGAGAAAACACGTTTTAAGTAAAATCTGGTTTTAACTATAACATAGGAATACATTTTATAAATAAATAGGTATGCAATTCCTTGACTGACCGTTTGTTTTTTAGTTTGCGATGAAAGTTTTACAGTCTCAACAACTTCTCAAACTATGAAAACTCTTCGGCGTTTAAGATGGCTCTTCAAAGCGATAGTTGTGCAGCCTTTTCGCGAGTATATTTTGTCACATAATTCACATCTTGCTGCTAAATCATTATTTTAAAAATAATACTTGCAAACGGGACTTGTTTTTGGACTCATGATTGGACTTAAATTACACACACGACTTAAATTTCTAATTAACTAAAAATACAATAAATCTATATATATGGATGCGTCGCTGAGTTCCGTTCAAAATTCCGTTATAAAATCATCATCTATATCTTTCATCTATATCTCATATCTCATCTTTCATCGTTCGCCGCGGACAGTGCTACCGAACGGACGTGCCTTAATCGCGCTCCCGTGCTGTATTAAGTGTACGTACTGTGAAGTTTACGTGTTGCCAGTTGACGATTCCGCTAAACGTTGAGCTCGCTCCGTGAAGCGTTGAATCGTCACTGGCATTCTCCGCATCGAATTACAAGTGAAGACTAACGCCAACGCAGTGCCTGCTTCACGAGAACCGGCATCAGCACTGGACATCCTTCTTGATCAAGAAGGACACTCTAGTGTAAACACGCCCATCTCATCAGAGCCTCGCACACCCCTCCCTGCTCGCGGGCGCCTCGCTAGGCCTCCTCCAGGGGTCTCACCCGGTGTAGTAGCACGCGCTGAGGGCAGTAAGGTGTGCGACCGTTCAAGGGCTGTGCACTAACTAATCAAGAAAATGACGGATAAGGGGGAACCCCCCCCACCACCACCCCGAAGACCACCGGATAGGCGACCAGGGATCCTGGACAGACCCTTCATTGAAAGGAACCTATTCGATCCTGAGAAGTCCCGAATCATCCCCCCGGTCAGCCAAATCCCTAGACGAATTGGAAGTCCACCACTTAGTCCCTCACCCGTTACTAGCCGGGCTGATAGGACACTAAGCTTCGAATTGGCAACTACATCCCGCCTTGCGGTAAAACTAGCACCGCCACAAGTAGAATCCGACGAACTTCAAGACGAAAAGAGGCCCAAACTAGGGTCTCGCACTCCGTCATCAGACGAAGAATCAACATCATCTATGCCATCACCAACACATATCAACCCTCCAAAATCACCATCACTAACAAAGACCCTGTCGGACATCCCAACCGAGACCCAAGATATGGACGCAGAACCCGTGCCGGGGCCATCGACAGCACCAGACACGTACGCGCGCATAGCGGCCGCGCCCAAAGCCACGCGACCACCATCCCCACGAACAACGGGACCACCACCACCCAATGAAACACCAACAGCGGCAAAGTATCCACCGATAATAGTGGAGTGCTTCCCAAACTGGGCGAAGCACTTCAAAATACTACAATAATATTGTTGCATGAATAAGTCAACTAGCGCCATCTAGTGTCAGGAACGAGAGCGAGGGGAGCATTGAGAAAATGACATCACAAATCACTCAACCGACAGCGCCTAGTCGAAACTCGAACGCTCGGTACCTTGCGCGTGTTTACTTGAACATTCTGGATATTTCTTTGCTAATTTAAATATGTAGGGGCTGCAAGATGCGAGAGATATAGTTGAACTCGGCGACACAAGCGAAGCTTCGGAGCGGAATTAAGTGAATTAGTGTGTTTAATTATTAGTGTTTTTAGTTTTAATTTGTGTAAAGTAAATTAAAGTGTTAATTTAGGTAATTTTATCGACAATTTTTATTGTCACGAACCTCAAGCTCGTAACAATTTGGTGTCAGAAGTGGGATTAAGAGGTTAAAGATTACCATACAATTCAACATGTCTAACTTTTATGTTTAACTTATTTAAAAAAATGACCAAAGCGCAGATATACGCTCTCACTTTGCGAATTTGCGTACCGTAGACTTATTACACATACCTACTTTAATCAATTTTAGTTTAGAACATATGGTATATTATTGGCAGTATTTAGTAAATAGGTGATAACTAAATTTCTAATAATACTGGAAGTTTGTGATTCTGGGAATTAAATAAGACCCTACTATTGTGTAAAAAAGGATTACATTACGCAAATTCGCAAAGTGAGAGCGTATATCTGCACTTTGGTCATTTTTTTAAATAAGTTAAACATAAAAGTTAGACATGTTGAATTGTATGGTAATCTTTAACCTCTTAATCCCACTTCTGACACCAAATTGTTACGAGCTTGAGGTTCGTGACAATAAAAATTGCCGATAAAATTACCTAAATTAACACTTTAATTTACTTTACACAAATTAAAACTAAAAACACTAATAATTAAACACACTAATTCACTTAATTCCGCTCCGAAGCTTCGCTTGTGTCGCCGAGTTCAACTATATGTCTCGCATCTTGCAGCCCCTATATATTTAAATTAGCAAAGAAATATCCAGAATGTTCAAGTAAACACGCGCAAGGTACCGAGCGTTCGAGTTTCGACTAGGCGCTGTCGGTTGAGTGATTTGTGATGTCATTTTCTCAATGCTCCCCTCGCTCTCGTTCCTGACACTAGATGGCGCTAGTTGACTTATTCATGCAACACTGCCCCCTCCTAAGACATGCTCGTCCCGCGCATTATAGGTCCCATAATAACGCGCCATCTAGTGTCAGGAACGAGAGCGAGGGGAGCATTGAGAAAATGACATCACAAATCACTCAACCGACAGCGCCTAGTCGAAACTCGAACGCCCGGTACCTTGCGCGTGTTTACTTGAACATTCTGGATATTTCTTTGCTAATTTAAATATATAGGGGCTGCAAGATGCGAGACATAATAGGACACGCCCCAAACGCAAGCCCGTTTGGCAAAGGAGTACGCTTCCGGCCCCAATCGGAAGAAGAGTATAGAAAAATTCCAAAATACCTTATTGAGCAAAGCAGAGAGGACACCACCATCGCGTGGTACTGCTACGCACCACGTGACGAACAACCCACGAAGGTGGGGGGTAAGAGGACTCACTGCAGACACAAACCCACAGGACATCCAGGATGCGCTCATAGGGATGGGCTTTCCCGTCACATTTGTGAGGGCGATCCCACCCAAAAGGGGGAGGTCTGAATGCTTATTCTATGTTAAACTCGACCATTTGCCCCCAGAAGAGCTCAACCGGCTCTATAAAATAAATGAATTATTATACATGCCGGGAATCGTCATAGAGGGCTGGCAGGGCAGAATTGGCCCTGCGCAATGTCACAGATGCCAGGGATTCGGGCACGCCTCAGTAAACTGCCACCGCCCCTTCAAGTGCGTCCGCTGCGCGGGTAACCACCCCGCAGCGGAATGTCAGAAACCGCGCGACGCACAACCTAAATGTGCCAACTGCACCAAGGCCCACGCAGCCAACGACCGCCGGTGCCCCGTACTGCAGCGGATTGCGAGGAAAAGGGGCATAAATTTATCTCAACAAATACAACAACAGCAGCCCCAACCTCAATCACAAAGCCAAACGTCAGCACCAGCGCCATCTGCACACGTGACAACAGGGACAACACTAGCCCCCCCAGCAAATGGCCCCACAGAGCGCAACATGGCCCCCAAAAAGAAGCAGAAGAAGAGGAAGGAAAAGAAGGCGGCCACTCTAACATTAGAAACAAGAGTGACTTCAACTTCGCTTCCTTCCCCCCCACCTACACCACACAACAAGCACGACAGCAATCAATAAACCAACCCCGAGAACAATACCAACGAAGAACGGCAACGGTCGCCGCACCCGTCACACAAACCCCATATGTACCAACCACCGTCGAAGAAGCCCTCACGGAGGTGGAAGTGGGTGTGGTGATCAAGATATTGGGAGATGTACTGAACGCCATGACCACGGGGTCCAACCCCCTAACGGCGATATTAGGCGCCCTAGCCCAGCTGTCAGCCATCAACAGAGGGCCGACCTCAACCCGGCTTCACCGAAAAAAACCACCGAACTCCGATTGCTGGTCCAGCGGTACAACATCCAGATTGTACTGCTGGGAGAAACAAAGCTGCGCCCCTCCGCCCAACTGAAGATTCCCAACTTCTTCGTGTATCGACACGATGAAGTATCCCCTGAAGGTGTCGCGTACAGAGGTACTGCGACACTAGTCAGAAGAGACATCATACACGAAGAAGTGGAAACAGACAATAACTTCGCCACCACGAGGACAAAAGGGATTAGGATGAAGGTGGGCACTAGAGAAGTCAGAATTTATGCCGCCTACAGACCGTCCGGCACCCCGCTCTACCCCCAGGACATAAGGAAAATATTCGACGCAACTACACCTGCAATTATCGCTGGAGCCCTCAATGCAAAGCACCCTGCTTGGGGCTCCACGATAATCACCCCACCTGGGAAGAACTGATCGACGATGCAGAAGACTGGGGGTACGAGGTTCTGGGCCCAGACGAGCCCACTCACATCCCCACCAATCCAGAACACCAGCCCGATGTCCTCGACATAGTGCTGTGCCATAAAATGCCGTACCCAATACTGTTAGAGGTGCTGTATGATCTGGACGCACAGCACCTCCCCGTGTTGTTCACCATCGACACAAGTGCGGACGCGGTAGTGCCCAGAGAGTTAAAAATGAAAACCAATTGGACCCGCTTCCGTAAAGCGCTGGAGGACCTCCGACTCGGCACCAACATACTAACCAGAGAAGATGTAGAAGAAGCGGCTCTACAACTAAACAATATGATTGAAGACCAATTGAAACTCCATTCACACCCTGTCTCTACAGGGCGCCGAAGAGAGGAACTCCCACAACACCTGAGAGGAACTCCCACAACACCTACAAGCACGACTCTCCGAGAAGCGGAGACTACGGAAGCTCTGGGCACGAACGCGATGCCCGCTCATCAAAAGAAGACTAAACGCTCTGACGGAAGAGCTGTCGGAAGCAATGAGAAAGCATAGAGGAGAAGCATGGGATAGGCGTGTTGACGAAGCGTCGGAAACACCCGCCTCCCTTCATCTCCTCAACCGGCAGCTCACGAAGACTCCCACACCGGTATGCCCACTAGTGGACAACACGGGAAAACGCTACTACAACGCCCAGAAAAGGGTGGAAATGATGGCACAGCACCTAGAAGCACAATTCAAAACCAACTTCATAGCGGAGGGTTACACAGAATATGCAGCAAGCATACAAGACCGCGTACATGAATACCTGTCGAACCCGGCGCCACCACTAAAGGGCAATGACTTTATTTCGCCGACAGAGGTAGCGCGCACTATCATGCGCCTCCCCGCCCGTAAAGCGCCGGGATTCGACGGAGTCACCACCATGACAATTAAGCAGCTGCCAAAAAGAGGGATAGTGGAACTCACCAGGCTGTTCAACGGCATTCTAAGAACTGGCCACTTCCCCAACATCTGGAAGAAAGGAAGAATCATCGTGCTACCAAAGCCGGGGAAGGACAAGAGGCACCCGGCTAGCTACCGCCCCGTAACGCTATTACCGCACATAGCGAAACTATTTGAAAAAATCTTTCTAAGAAAAATCACACCGCACATCGCTCTACGGGATGAACAATTCGGCTTCCGTAGAGCACACTCTACAACTGCACAATTGGCCCGCGTGCTGCACTATCTTGCGGCCGAACATAACAGCGGCCGCATATGTATGGGGGTCCTCCTAGACATGGATAAGGCCTTCGACAGAGTGTGGCACGCAGGGCTAATCTACAAGCTAATCGAATACACGGCTTGTGCGGCTAATAGCGTCGTTCTTGGAGGGCCGGAGCTTTCAAGTCAGCCTAGAAGGGGCTGTTTCGGTAGCACGACCGATAGAAGCGGGAGTGCCACAAGGCAGCGTACGCGGTCTACACTAACGATATCCCCACACTCCAAGACCAGCTGGAGGAATGGGAAGAGGACGTCGTCCTTGCACTATATGCAGACGACAGTGCGTACTTCACGTCATCTCGTAAACGCTGCAAAGAAGTTGCAGCGACTGCTGGACCTGCTACCAGATTGGCTTGATAAATGGAGGATGGCGGTCAACGTCGGGAAGACCACCGCCTTTATGACCAGGCTGAGAAGGACACCACCAACACTGCAACTCTGTGGGCAGGACGTAGGTTGGAGGACGACCATCACCTACCTCGGATGCCGATGATCGATCGCTCGCTGCGAATGAACCTGCAGGTCGACCACGTCGTGAGGCAGGCCAGAGCCGCGCGAGCGAAGTTGAACCCCATTCTGGCATCCAAACTCCCAAGAAACACCAAGATAGGTATCTACAAAACCTACGTCTGCTCGCGACATTCGCAGCACCAGCCTGGTATGCGTTGACCTCAGCCACTCAGCGCAAGAAGATGCAGGCCCAGCAGAACCTTGCACTACGAGTGATCGTGGGAGCCGGCCGTTACGTCAGAAACGACGTCATAGCGCGTGACCTCAAAATAGAATCAATCCACGAATTTGTGGTCCGTACTGCGAGACGGTTGTACGACCGCGCAGACAACGGACCACATCAACATCTTCGCAATATAGCTCCGCTACACGCGCGCCCACCAGACGGGCGACCACTCCCACGTGAACTTCTGCGCTCACCGCCCGGCGAGGGGGACGCCGGGGACGAGTGAGAGTCCCGACACCGGAATAGATGGCGTGAAGTACGCAAAATATCAACATATAAACTGCGTCAAAGCGCAGTACCCAAGACCGTGAGAGCCGTGCCTCCCACGCGATAAAACCCGGGTAATGAGGGCAACCTCGACACCCGCAGGCCTTCAAAACCTAAGAAAGGGTCAAGAAGAGGAACATCATCATTTTACGTAAATAATTATATTTTGTACTCATTTAAATAGTTTTCATGCATACACATATATTTAACAGTTTATATTTAAATTACAGAATTACTATCATTATGCGCTATTAAAATGTGTAGTGTTTACCGTTTTTTGCCAGCTTGTGGGACGTAACGTAAAACTGACGATTTCTAAGAATTAATTAAAGCAATATGTGTATATAATTGTATAAAACATGTGTATAAAACAGTACCCACCTATTAGGACAGATAACAAACAAAATAGGTTAGGTTCTACTTATGTCAAGGAACCGAATCAATAGACCCCGACTCCACGTGGTACGAGTCTGTCCTACCCCTAGAGTGTTTTTATAGAGCCGGAGGCGCGTAGGGAGAGCAGCCTCCGCCTGCTGGATGCCTGCGATTTGTTACAGCAGGCGGAGGCTGCTCTTCCCGCAGCGCCGGAGACGTTGCAGTCTCAAAATAGATACAGAAATCCCTCTGAATGAGTCCCTCTATTTATTTTTGGTGAAGGGGATTCCCCCTTCCTTAGGGGGTACCCCCTTCACCCCCAAGAGGTCTCCATGGTTTTTTACACTTAATATTTATCCATAAAAAATAAAATTTCCTCAGAATTAAAATTGAAAAACTCAAAAAGGGGGGGCTCCGCAACTTTTCCTTTTAAGGGTTAGTAGTACACCTTTGCATAGAACATTGATCCGTAATTGTATACAGATAAAGAGCACAATTGCGTTCACAAAAAAATACTTCCAAACTTTTAAAGTTCTAACTTTCAAGCCCTGTTGGAAGAAAAATACTTGCATAAAACATTGATCCGTAACTGTATACAGATAAAGAGCACAATTGCGTTTACAAAATAAATACTTACAATCCTTTAAAATAAATAAACCTTGATATAGAAAGAACATTGATCCGTAAAAAAATATGTAATAAGGAGCAGAATCGCATTGAGTGTCGACTGAGTGAGAATATTCAAATATTTTGAAGTCTTGCGAGTATTTTGGGTGGGCACTTGGTCGGCGTACTTGCAAGTAACGGTGCCCTGTTTAAAATTCACAAGTTACACTTTACAAGAAAATTTTTACAAATTCGTGTAAATTACGTTTCTACAGGGCTTGTAAAATTTAACACTTATAGGTTCTACCTTAGGTTTTAAAATCAAAAATGTGCGCCGCATTCTTTTCCCGCCATTTTTTGGGCTTTTTATTGAATATCTCTAATTAAACGCATGGCTATATGGAATATTGTCTGTGACTAACTTTGATGGGACATTTATAAAAGTAGTAGTGACAAAGTATTCCCGTCTTTTATTTGTAATTTGAAGTGTATTCCCGGCGAGATTTTGGATTTCTTGAAAAATGACTAGAAATGATAAAAAAATAACGGTTTTACAACCAATTCATGACAAAAAAGACGTTTTTGTTAGTGCATTTAGCGATAGGATGTCCAAACAAAAAAAATTGACGAGTGGAAGACATACAAAAATCAGTACTCGCATCAATAACACAATAACGGGAGCAAAAACTACCAAGTTTTATGCGCACGCGCACAATGCGGCGGCGAAATCAAAGCACGGAGTTACAAAGTTGCCGCAATGCTACGCTGCCACCTGTCTACAAATCATGAGAACTGGTATCTAAAAAATAGATATCTGTACCTGAGAAGCATAACACTGTAACTCCATTTTCGACGAAATTGAGGTTTCTACACAATCCTATGTTATTTGCTCCGCTCTTTACAGGCATAAAACAGTAACTGGGCAAAGCCAAGTACTTTTTAATATTTTAAATTTTATTATACTGTATATCTCAAACTATCTTCAAAGCATAACAGGGTAAAGGACCATAAACTAAAAATAGTCTTCACAATCACGTGTATTTTACTGTAAGTGCGGAGTTACATTATTCTGCCGCTAACTGCATCGATGCCGCGAAGCTAGGCGCGGTTTGCCTATAAATAGATCGCGTGAGATACAGTGTTTTATTTCGCTTCTCGCGTTCGTCTAATGCACACGTATGCCAATTTTTATGTAGCGCTTACAATAAAACATCGAAAATGTGCAGTAATCGAACGAGAAAAATATTACAGCTTCTGCAGCCGATTCCAGATGGTAAGTTTAGATAGTTCAGAAGTAATGTTTTATTTATTCATATTAATATATAATACATTTCTTACAAATAATATACCTATGTATTTTTAGAGTCGCTAACCACAGACGAGCAGTTAAATTCACAAACTTTAAGACTGGTTTCAATTGGTAAGTTTTTATTTTTTTTAAGTTTCAATTATTATAATATATATAAAATTATACATTTGTATTTCTAATATGTTTATTATTTGTTTACGCTGCAGGTCGCGGGTTCGAGTCCCGCACGCGGATGAAGTTCTTCTTATAGAATTTATTTAAAAATTTATCAGTAATCTTCTAACCTGTTGATTCATGTTAAAATAAAAAAAGTCATAACTCCTAACTGCTTTCAATTGGTAAATTGGAAGAAGTTGGAAGTTATGACTATTTTCAGTAGATTTTGTGAGGAAAGTGAACAGATAAACCTTTATTATTTAGTAGTGACGAATTTTCAAACTTAGTAACTATCTAGTAATACTTATATTATAATACTTAACGAAGTCAAATCTTTATATTTTTTTAGAAACAGTAATTAGAGAAGAGCGCTGTTCGTCACCTTTAACAAAAGAACAGCTGCAATTTTTTGAAAACCATGCAAATGAAGAAAACTTCCAATATTGCTTGAGAGAACTATCACGAGAGTCGCCAGTAAGCATGTTAAGCCGAGAAGATAGTCCTTCTGTTTTGCACTCCCGAGAAAGTAGCCATTCTCTTTTGAATTCACAAGAAAATGACCCGTACGAGACAGATGCAGACTCAAGTAGCAACTGGTCACCCTCCCCGCGCGTCCGAAAAAATCCTCGATTGACTGTTATAAGTTCAACATCAGATTCGTCTGAATCTAATGTCGATGAAAACGTAAACAACAAGAGAAAATCAAGAAAACGTTTACGTGATCAAAAAAACTGGAAACGTGAAATAGCGAAAACAAAAAGATTAGCGGGAGAAAGGTATGTTAGCGCAGTTTCAAAAACAAAAAAAATAATCGAGAAGAGGAAAATGAAGGAAGCTTGCCCGAATACTTGTAAACTAAAATGCTTTGAAAAAATTTCATATGATAATAGGATAAAACACTTTGAGTCATTTTGGAAAACCACCACAAATTGGGAACAAAGAAGACAGTTTGCAGCTTCATCTATTGACTTAATATCCGTGATGCGACCTCGTAGCCGCCAGAATAATGATGTTAGCCGACGCAAGAAAACAAGAATTTATAATATGTTTATTAATAATGTACGTACCCGGGTTTGCCAAAAAATGTTTCTAAACACGTTTTGCCTTACAGAACAATTCATATCAACCACGCTATCAAAGATTTCGGAAGCTACAAGTTTAGTGCAGCCTGATCAACGAGGAAAGCATATTCCAGGAAACAAAACACCCGATTCTGTAATTGCAGGGATTAAAAACCATATTTGTATGTTTCCACGTTACATATGTCATTACTCGAGAGAAAAAACAACTCGCGAATATCTTGGACCAGATTTAAATATAACGAAAATGTACGAACTATACGTAAAAAAATGTAAAGAAGATGGTGTACCAGAAAGTATGATATCGAAGCAGTGGTTATACAGAAAAATTTTCAACGAGCATTTCAATTTGTCCTTTTACTTACCTAGCAATGATACTTGCGACACTTGTGATAAGTTCATATCATTATTGAAGCACGAAACTAATCCCGAAGAAAGAGAAAAAATAGAGAAGCAAAGAAAAGAACATATTGAAGATGCTGATAAGAGGTATGCTTTAAAAAAGAGAAGACAAAGAAATCGCTAAAGAATCGGAAGGAAAAAAAGTAACTCTTATGGTGGACATGCAAAAATGTTTAGCAACGCCCTTGTTAACAAATAGTCAGTCTTTCTATTTAAGAAAACTGTGGACATTCAATGAAACAATCCATAATGACACTGATAACAAATCTTACTGCATGATGTGGGATGAAACACAAGGAGGAAGAGGTGCCAATGAAGTCGGATCGTGCATTATAGAATGGGTTCTTAATTACAAGCGTGAAAACACAGAAGAAATAACAATATGGTCTGATAACTGTTCGGGGCAAAACCGTAACGTTATTTTGTTGTATTGTTACTTTTGGTTATTACAAAACACGGAACTTGTCACAATCAACCACAAATTTTTACTTCGTGGTCACACACATTCAGAGGCTGATGTTGTTCATTCAGTTATTGAGAGAAAGAAAAAAGAACTATCTAGTTTTGATGTAGTAGTACCACGTGATTGGAAGCAGTTTGTTAAAATCTGTAAAACTCAGAACCCATTAATAGTACACAACATGAATCTTATGAATGTTAAAGATATTAAATCACTGTCCGTGAATTTCAGTCAAAGGCGTAAAAATTCATCTAATGGTCAGTTTTTGATTTCACAATGTGTGTGGCTACAGGTAAGGAAGCAGAAAGATGGTATTTTATATTATAAAACCAGTTTCCATGACGAAGAGTTCTCTGAGATCAATCTTAAAAAGAATACTAGACAAAACCTTATATTGTCAAACTCCCTGCCACAGGCTCATGAAAACATTCGTCCTATCAGTATTGCGAAATACAAAGATTTGGTGACGTTAACTCAATGGATTGCCGATCCAGAACTAAAAAAGTTTTACATTGACCTACCACATGGTAATCAACCTGATATTATCGAAGAATCTGAAAATCCTGACCTGTGTTATTAAAATTTTTATATTTGTTTAGCTAATAATGTCATTTTTGTCATTAAAGGTATTTAGATTAGATAAAGTTAAAGGTATTTAAAAGTTGTATGTTAAGATAATGTTCAAATTTTGATTATAATATAGGCCTATCACCGTAAGTGTTGCCGAATTTTATTATTTTAAAATTACTAATATACGCAAACATTGATCTCCTTACCTAAATGTTAGTTTATGTCATAAAAATTAATTAGATTACATGAAAAAGTTAAGTATGTTAGATTATGTTCAAATTTTAATTACAGGCATAACACTGTATGTAATACCGATTTTTTTTGTTTTTTAAAAATAACTGAATTACACAAAGATTGATCTCATCATTGTTAGTCAATTTAAAAGCTTATAATGTAGCCCTTTAAAAAAATTAAAACAGTTATATTAACTTCACTTGTTTTAAATTTTATAACCTCCTAAACCTAAAGATAGTTACTTTTTGAAAGGATATCTTCTATTACGTAAACTTTGCGATTTGGCGCTTACAGTAATATGCTTCTCAGGTACAGATATTAATTCAAAATTTAGATTTCAAACGTAGACAGCAACTCTTTGAATGGCTTATTCAAATTAAAAGAACCTATTATTTTATAAATAAACAAGTTTTAATACTAAAACCGTCCAAGTGTGAGTGAATATTTTAATTACATATCAGTCGCTTGGTCTTGTACCTGCAGGAAAAGATTACACCTATGTTCGAGACACATTTTACTCAAATTTAAAAGGGGCTACTTTGGTAAGTATGTTTTAAACACTCGTTAACTTAAAAAAAGTTCTTATTGTAATTATTGAAAATAATTTTTCCTGTAAATTACATACATTTTGTTATTTACTTATGTACCTGTCTACTATAGTACCAAAAAAAAGAAAATTTTATTAATCATATTTTAATTCACATTTCAATACGTGGCACGGAATACACACTCTAGTAGATGATTACACTCGAGCATGTAGATGAATACCTAATAATGTCGTACGTAAATATCATAGTTCGACACAGGAATACATCAGTAAGCAATACTTCTCATTCGTCGATGTGGTTTTTTGCAGCGTAACACGTATCAGGCGCAATAGATACTTAGATAATCAGAAACACAACACTTAGATGATAGTCCAAGTCTTGGACATCCGCAGTTGAGAGGTTAATAATTTGCATTTAAATGAAACTAAAACTAAATGTATGAAATTCGTAACTCCTAATGTCAAACATGTTAATACAAATGTTATTTCAAATGAGGAAGAACTGAGTCTTGTTGATACCACCATTTTTCTTGGAATCACACTAGACGCAAAGCTTCAATGGCTCCCTCATATATCAAAACTAGCTAGCAGACTTAGTTCTGCAGCATATGCTGTAAAAAGATTAGAACTCTTACCAGTGTTGAAACAACTAGAATAGTTTACTTAAGTTATTTCCATAGCATTATGTCGTATGGTATTTTGCTATGGGGACACGCGACTGACACTGAAATTATAATTATTTTACAGAAGAGGGCCATTAGAGCAATAAATAATAATAATATAATAATCTTTATTGCACTTTTTAAGATTAAGTACACTCGATAACAACAAATAACATAACTAAGCTCACAGTTAAGTACTTCTACAATTAATATGAGGCTACTGACATCTAAACTAGGCAGAGCCTATATTGTAAATGACAGTCTTCTCCCAAAACATAGTACAAGGATTTAAGTACAGAGCAGTATTCAATAATTTTAACTGATAAAGATAACAGTTTACTATCAAGTTTACATAATATATATATATATATATATATATATATATATATATATATATATTACAAATATGAAATACACAAGTAAAAATACACGCGTGTGTATTTTTGAGAGAGAGAGAGATAGTTGAGTGATTATGAGATAATGATTTTGACATACATTATAATAATGTGGGGTTAAGGGGGGATAAGTCGCTCGCGTCCGTAGGCTGTGACCACCTATTCCTAGGCCCACCCTACACGTGTCCCCTGGGTGGTGCTAAATGAGCGACAAGCCGATAGCACAGACTCGATTCCACGCCATGGTAGCGGCGTAAAATATACTTCCCCATATTTCGTACCATGAGTAACCATATAAAAGAAATGACCCCGAGTTCCCGGCGCCCCTTTAATGGGGCAGGGGTGCAAAGAATCTCCGGGAGGAAAACCGGCGATGAGGTTCGCCACCCGTCACGTTCTGTCTCCCGGAGAGGCGAAAAGTGGATTGCAGAGGCCCGTCCGGCTACGTTGAAAGTATGTGGGGCAATGAATGATAAAACGGATGAAGTATGCGATATGATGTATGATAGAGGAATAGATGTGTTATGTGTAAATGAGACGAAAAGGAAGGGGAAGGATGTCACTACACATGGCATGTATACCGCATACTGGTCTGCTGTAGACGAGATCGAGCGAGCATGCCAGGGAGTAGGTATCATACTTTCAGAAAGAATGGGTCAATGTGTGAAAGAGTATGAATGTGTAAGCCCAAGACTGTTATGGATACGAATGAAAGTGGGCTTAAACAAGTTGTTTGTGTTAGGGGTCTACGCCCCAGACATGTCTAAGCCCACTTATATCCAAGAGCAGTTTTGGGAAATGGTAAGGATGGTGTTAATGAAGTGTAAGGGAAATGAAAATATTATTATGCTAGGAGATTTTAATGGAAGGGTTGGGGTGAGGAGGCTTGTTTGTGAAAGGATATTGGGAACGTTTGGTGATGATAGTATAAATGAGAATGGTGAGTCTCCTCACCGTATGTATGGAAAAGAATCTTTTTGTGACGAACACTTGCTTTCGCCTCAAGAGGATTCACATTTATACTTGGGAAAGAGGTGACGATAGAAGCATGATAGATTTTATAATTGTGGATGAAAGATTGAGGGGCGCAGTGGTAGATACAAGGGTTTACCGGGGTTCTAACGTAGGAACGGATCATTATTTGGTTTTATACCTATTCAGGCGTTGGCGCCATCGATCATCTGTCTACCACTGCGTTACAGCGTATTAGAACAGAAAGGTTACAAGATGAAGGTGAGAAAAACAAGTTTAAATGTAGACTGAAATAAATATATAAGTGGTTTGGATGAATTATGTATGAAGGAGTTAGACTTGGAGAATGTATGGGAAAATGTAAAGAAAGGTTTAGTGGATGCAGCTACAGAAGTATGTAGTGTTAGTAAGAGAAAGCATGAAAGGAAAAATAATACGTTATGGTGGGATGATGAGATACGTATGGAAGTTGAAGCATAGAAGAGAGCATGGCTAGATTTACTAGCAACAAAGGCTGTTTCAAGAATTATAGCACATGCATCCAGCTTGGTTTTCAGCAAAATATGATCGAGACAGTTTTCTAAACGAGTCGACTTATTACGAGCTGGTAAAAAACCTAGCATGGCTGGAGAGTTTAGGTATTCATGGGAGCGGTTATCATGATTACCATGCTTGACGTCAATGTTAATATCTCCTATTAAAACCGGTTAGAAAAAGTTTGTTGGCGAAGTTAATGTGTAAACAGATTTTGTTGGATTTTTCAAGGTAAGTGACGCTATTTTATTTGTATTTCGTTTGAAGATACAGTGAATATTGAGGCGAGTTAGTAGAAATCGCATTTAGACTCGTAATAACCAGTACAACTTCAATTTTTCTTTGTGTAGGCCGTATCCTACATTATGCATTTAGTACAAAAATTTGGTACAATTTATCATATATTACTACAGAGGTGTAAATTGATGTTTCAGATGGCTAATCGCAGGTGAACTGGTAGTGATGACCAAATAAGCGCCTACATAGCTTACTTAGTTGGAAATGAGTCAGAAGATGGTGCGGAAGAGGATGAAAGCGAGGAAAATGATGAGGAGGTGCAAACTTACAGGGACCGAGCGGATCAGCTACGGATTCTTGAAGATGAACGAGAAGAAGATGAAGAAAGTCCTACCCTGGAACAAGAAAGTTCAGGTCCAGATCCCGCTGAAAAGGATCCTACTCTATTGGAAGACCCACAACCTGAGCAGAAACCTGGTGTTCACAGTGTGCAAGCTCGGCGTCAAGAAATGAGGAAATTATTGTGGAAAAAGCAGAATATGTGGACGACTGAAGATGATGTGGCTTTTTTGGGCAGTTTAGATTATGGTGAGCTGGCGTCTTTAGACACAAAAGAATGTCTTTTTTTTTTCATTTTTCTTAACTGACGACATTTTAGACAAGATTGTTCAAGAAACCAATTTGTATGCTATACAGAAGGATCCTACTTCCACTTTCACAACTAACATCTCAGAGATAAGAAATTACATTGGCATATCACCTAAGTATGGAACCCAGTGAACCAGACTTGGGCGTAACTGGAAATGTTTAAAGCTGTAACAAACCGTATGTATTCGGTACTGAGTAACGGGTGCGCCATCTAGTACCGAGTAACGAAACGTTACACATGAATGTCTTTCGTTACTCGCATTTTTCGTACTATGGGTACCTACACTGTTACAGTTCACGCAAGTACCGATGATACGTGATGCGTGTATGGTAACATTTGCTGATCGTATGTTTTACGCATGCGCACACTTATTCGGTGAATTTAAAAACGTACGTTACAAAGAGCGATGTTTGTTTATTAGGTAAAGTAAACTTAGCGGCACTTAGCGTCGGTTTGTTTATGTTTGGGCCACATTCCGTGCCGCTAAGTATAATTTGGAAATACGTCGTCCAAGTTTTTTACTGCTTATTGAAGGTATTGTGCGTGTAAACGAAGTTTTAGATTGGAACAGAAAGAAGGTAAGAAAGTATTTTTTACAAATTAGAAATATGTATGTTTTTGTTTTTTATTATCTCGTATTTTCAAGTTTTTTTTTGTTCTTATCTTAAAAGAGATATTATAAATAAAGCCGCTCTAATGGGTTTTAATTGTTTCTTGGTTTACAAAAGCTGTTAATTATCAAATATTGTTAATTGTGTATATTCGATTTATAATTATTAACACTTATTTTTTTATTTTACAGTTTAATTTACCTGCTACAATGGATAAGAAAAGAAGTAAACTATGGGGTTTTTTTACGCAGACTAAAGACGATAAGGCAAAATGTGATCTTTGTCATTCGTTGTATTCAGTGAAAGGCGGCTCTACTACAAATTTGAAAAAGCATCTCATGAAGAAACACAGATCATCTTATGAAACCATCATTCCATGCTCTATGTCAGATGAAGCAGTTCTGGAAGCTCCTATACCATCAACTTCAGCAAGTACAGAATCTACTAATCCTGTAATTAAAAAAAGTGAAACCATTTCGCAGCAGACTAAGTTAAGTGCCTTTATTAAACGTCCAGTAGGTGTAGTAAGAGAAAAAAAAATTAATGATTTAATTTTTAAAATGATAGTTAAAGACCTTCAGCCTTTTTCTGTAATTGAAGACGCGGGTTTTAAAGATCTTATAAATTACTTAGAACCAGGTTACAAAATGCCTTCAAGGTACATATTAAGCAATACTTTATTGGATGCTCAATACTCAGACGTCCAAAAAAAAATTAAAAGAAGAATTGGAGAGCGCAAAATATGTATCGATCACCACCGATGGCTGGACTTCGATGGAAAGATTTTGACTCTTTAGCAATGTCAGCGTCTGCTTCGAACTCTATAGTTAGCAGCAGCATAATTACCATGAGGCAATATCTAGAAGAACGCATTATTCCTCGAAATGAGTGTCCTTTAAAATGGTGGCAGGCGCGGGCAATTCTATACCCCGAACTCTCAAACTTGGCTGAGAAATATTTATCGGTGATGGCTACCTCAGTACCATCGGAAAGGACTTTTTCCAAATCGGGCCAAATATTAAGTGAGAGGCGCAGCTCTATTCAACCAAAGCGAATGGAAAAGATTTTATTTTTAAATATGAATCAGAGGTTCCTGCCATAAAATGTTTTTATTTAATTTTTTTTTGCCGAAATGTCGCGATAAGCATGTCGCAGATGTTAAATGTTAATAATGCTTGCCCATAACAATTGCAGTACTCTAGGTTTAATTTCATTCTAAGGAAAATATTTTCATTGTTGTTTTAGTTTTGTTTAAAATATTTTTTATTTTATTATTATGTTTAATTTTATTCTAAGAACAAAAGATTTTTGTTTGTTGTTTGAATTTTGTTTAAAACATGTTTTATTTAATTTTTTATGCTTAATTTAATTCTAAGCAAAACTATTTTTATGTTGTTTTATCGTTTGAATGTTATTTAAATTTTATTGTCAATAAATAATTTTCGACACCTATTTGTTGCTTTTTCATTCATAATAATGGATGGAATAGATTTTCATGCATAATTTTTAAATAGTAAATCCATTGCAAATTTAGTAGATTCCGTCAATAGTTCACTTGTAGTTTTACACTTTACCTATTAAATAAAACTAAATTTAGAATAACTTAAACACAAGTCTGGTTCAAAATACGCCGCGAGGTCATACTGTACGCGTACGCAATACGACTCGATTCGATACGATCGAACATAACAGCATGTTGTGAGGTATCAGAAGTAACGAGTAACGTAACGATACGATAGTAACGAGTACTAATTGTTAAAGTAACGAATACATACGGGTATGCTTTTTTTCGTTACTTTTACACCTCTAGAAATGTTGCGGTGAGACTTGCAAGTCTGGTACCTAGGAACATCAACCATATTATACTTCTATTCCATTGGCTTGCTACTTACATAAGCAAAAAATTCTTTGTCTGGGTACAGTGCAAACCAACCGACTGCCAAATAATAAGTTACCAAATCCAAAATTATACATGAAGAAAACTATAGCAAGAGGATCGTATGAAGAACACATGACAACTTACGATGGAACAGATGTATCCGTTACCATGTGGAAAGACCACAAAGTGGTGACATTGTTATCAACCTATGTGGGGGCGGAGCCAGTCCAAAAAACAAATAGATATCATAAATCTAAAAAAGAAAAAAATTCTAATTGACTGCCCACTGATAGTCAAAGATTACAACTCCCACATGGGAGGCGTAGATTTGATGGATAGTTATATAGGAAGATACCATATAACCATAAAAAATATAAAATGGTATATGCGATTGTTTCATCACTGCTTGGACCTGGCCATGATTAATTTATGGTTATCTTACAAAAAACTTGTGTCACAAAAAACTAGTTCAATTGAGGAACTGTGAAACCTGGGCGTCTTTCTGACTGAACTTTCTCAAATATTTTTTAATTATTTTTCCATTCATTTACATACCCTCAGACATCATTTACGTATTTTTTCAAATAAAATTAAAAAATCATGCATTTAAGGGTCAAGATAGATACTGTAAATGAAATACTGTCTGAAATAAAGGCCATTAAAAAAAACTATAAATCCCCCCGGGTTCACCTCACGAAACCAATCAGGGTACAAGCTAGTCATTGTCAAGACTAAATAATAATTAATTAAAAGGTGTATGTAGTTGCGGTGTGAGAATATCCAATGCCCCATATTGTCCCGTAGGTGTCGTAAGAGGCGACAGAGAAAAACTGATAAAGGTTCGATTTTGCTTGGTTGTTTTTTGGTTTTTAAATTAACTCCAACAGAATAAATGCAATTTCAATTACCACATATGGCAAGGTTTTTCTAAACGTTCTGTAGTTAAATAAGAAATGGATTTTCATCTATTATACTTTTAATTGTTTATTAATTATTAATAATTATTAATATACGGCGGTCAACCCACCTTTGAAAACACTTGTATCTTTTCTACTCGTTCTATAATTACATAATAAATTCATAAAAAATATATTTTTATGTTGTGTATGTGTTTCCTTAAGGCCCCGTGCGCGAAATCAACTCATTTCGGACAAATCTGATCACTGTTTGTGTGAACAGGAAAACGAATTTTAATTTTTCTTTTTTTATTATAATAGTCTAGTTCTTAATCTAATATCTGGCTTGAAGGGATGTATCATATTATCTATATAATAATGGCAAATCACCAATATTCACAACCCTTTTTCCGAAAAGTAACGATCAAGTGATTTTTGTCTTCGTTTTACAACGAAACTACAAAATATTTGAAACATTAAAAAATATAAATAACATAAGTATACAGTCTACTTGTTTGTAGCCAGATCAGTTTTTTAATTCCTATCAAAATATAGCAGAAAAAAATTGTTGAAATAACGTAATTTCCAGAAAACTTCGTTCGAAATAAGTATTTTTTTCTATTACATAGAAACACTTTTAATTAATTTAAAAAATTACACATTAATCTTAAGATAGCCCTTTATTGGAAACTAAATTTTATTTCATAAATAAATAATAAATGCATCGCAGGCGCTCCCGTGTTTTACGTAAACATTTCCAGAAATTGTACGCCGTCCACCAAATTTTGATAAGGGTAAGTATTTTTTTTTTGGATAGTTTGTTTATTAAGAATAATAATATACTGCACGCCTAGTATTTATATAAAAAAGTTCAGGTGTGCGTGTTCGTAATTCTTGTTATCCTAAACGGCTATACCAATTATGATGATTTTTTTCTTCGTATGGGATGACCTGGTTGGTTCTTAGTACATAATAGTTAGACCTAGGCTGCTGTCTCAGTACGTCTGCTATGTTCATTGATATTTTATTTTTGATAGTTCTTTTTAATGATTAGTACCCATTTCAGATACCACTCATAAAATACGATTTTGTCTACTGTTGTATTTCATTATGTCCGCATGAAATAATGCAAAAATACCACCCAGCTGCATCGAATTGGGTCAAAATTAAGATATGACACAAACAGAACGTGCCATTCTTTGTAAATAAATGTTTAAAGCGGCCATAGATGTGCCATCCAATAATTGAGACCTATGAATTATTGGAAAAATAATAAAAACAGTAATAGCAACTCCACGCACGGCGCCTACTCACTCCGTAGTCATAGTGTTTGTTACGTATACTTTGTCGATCGGTGGCGTGCCCAAAATGTTTTGCCGCGTGCCATTGGTTCGACATCCCTGATCTAGGGTATGCCCTTTAGGTAACTGGTTATAATGTATAATTTTGTTGTAGACAATGGGACGAATAAAAGGAGCACGTTACCAGTGCATTACTAAAAGAAAAAAAAATAAGACAGGATTGGCATATGCTAGACAAATTCTTGCAAAACGTAATTCTAATACGAATTCGTCTTTAGAACACGTGAGTTTTTAATTTTGCTCAGCGCTAGACGTGCATAAAATACAGACGCCAGCACGTCAACCTATCCCAAGCATTAAAATTTTTCCCTTCCTACCTTCTCCTTTTGTAATAAAGTAAAAAATCTATTAAAAGAAATTTGACAGATTGGCGTAGGTTCATGTTCTGGCGTTTATAAATTCAATATATTCTTATTTTATTCCTATTCATATTCAAAATTAATAATTTTAGGATATAGATGACACTGAAAGGTGTGAAAGGGCAGTTGAAGGAGATGTTGACCATTCACATTAACTTGATTTAGGCATGGTAATTATCTTGGTCTCAATTACATTACCGCTCAAAAATATTTAGAAACCTTGATTTTTCTTCTTATTAGACCTTTTAAAATCATATTATTAAGCCAAATACTTTTGAGTGGTAATTTAAATAAATTATTAATTTATAATAGTTGTTATATCTAAATGATGTGCATAATTTTAACTATTTATCCTTTCAGAATAAGGAAGATAATGGTATGAAGTTAATAAATACTTATAAAAATTCAGTAGTTCCAAATGTTGAAGAAGTACAATCAGACATGGTAAGAAATGCACTTTATTATATTTTCAGGGTTCCGTAGTCAAATGAATAAAAATAACATAGATTCATATCATATTTTAAACTAGAAAGTTTAGAAAATAAATTATAACTTGGTTTTTTTTTAATTTAAACTTTCTCTGCAAAATACTATGATGCAATTTTTTATTTGCAATCGACGACGTAATCAATATTTTGCATGCGTAAATGCTCATCCCGATCACTGTGATGAGTAGGGCCGGACAAGCACCTAGCCGCTTTTTCAAACCTAATATTTTGCATTAAAATTAATACGATTTGTTACAGAACATAAAAAAAGACAATCAACATCAGGAAAATACCCCAATGGATTTATATACCGATGAGGACTTTGTGATTGAATCAAAAAAAAAGGAATTATTATCAAATGCTTTGTATTTATTCAATACCTAACATATTTATAATCACGTTTTTATGACACAAAATAAGTCGGAAACAATTTTGTTTCAGGAATCACCAGACTCACCTATACTTATTAAAGGGCGAAGAATTGTCAATTTCCAATATTTATTTGAGCAATTGATCACTATATCTAACCATAACCAGATTTGGATGTAAACTTTCAAATCTGATAATAACAAAAGAAAAAATGCAGTCGTTTTCATCCAAAATTTATTTATCATGTATGTGCGGAAGTCATTTTCAGATAAATACATGTCAGGAAATAACAAATGCATTAGGCGTCAACCATAGCGCTGTTTCGGATATAATCAGTATTGGATGTGGCCGAGCAAACCTAAACGAACTAGCAGCTTCTATTAATTTGCCTCTTATTAGCAAATGTACCTACCACAAATGTCATGACGACTTGTATAACTGGTGGAAGACCACAGCTGAATCTTCCATGATTGAAGCCGGTAAGGATGAAGCTAATATGGCTTTGGAAAAAGGGAGTGTGAGTCCTTCAGGCATACCTTCCATATCGGTGACAGCTGATGGTGCATGGGGTAAAAGATCACATAAAACAAAATTTACATCCGCAACAAGTGTAGCAGCAATAATAAGTCTAAACACAGGCAAAATACTACACGTTGGCATAGAAAATAAATATTGTACCATGTGTTCTCGTGCAGCCCACAAAAATAAAACACCTCCAGATCATCAGTGCAATGCAACCCACACAGGCTCTTCAGCAAGTATGGAGAAGTCAATTATAGTTGAGTGATTCCGAAGTTCCGTGGAAACACACAATTTAGTTTACGCAAAACTCGAGCACCTTTAAGAATATTTTGAAAAGCAGGCCGTATCCAAATGTAACAGTAGAAAAAATTGAGTGTTCCAATCACCTAATGCGGCACTATAACGGCAAAATATTAAATCTAATGAGAGATACGTCTATTCCCTTAAATCAGCGTAAACTTCTAAATACAGAACGCGTGAAACGATTGCACAGTAAGGTTCAGAATGGCTCAGAATTTGCCTTTAACGGAAAAAATTAAATCTCTGCAGAAAGACATCGTAAACAGTCCCAAGCATATATTTGGCGACCATTCCCAGTGTGATGGATACTACTGTGATGACGAGAAAAGGTCAGAAATAAACCTTGTGCCTGATGCCGAAATATTAATTCAAAAACTAAATGCAATTGCATCTACCCTGGCATTCAATGCGCGAAGTTTATTACACAATTTAAATAATAATAGAGCTGAACAGTTTAATTCTATAGTAGCCAAATATGTAGGTGGCAAACGCGTCAATTATTCTTTAAAAAATTCATATGCCTTGAGGTGTTATGCAGCGGTCGTTGCTTTTAATACTGGGAAACCTATAAGCGAATTTTACAACAACCATTTTTAACAGCAGTCCATCAACAGCAACCAAAAAATTTGAAGCGCAGAAATGCCAACCGAACCAAAAAAAAAATTGAAGCGCAGAAATGCCAACCGAACCAAAAAAAATTTGAAGCGCAGAAATGCCAACCGAACCAAAAAAAATTTGAAGCGCAGAAATGCCAACCGAACCAAAAAAAATTTGAAGCGCAGAAATCCCAACCGAACCAAAAAAGGAAAGAAAAACAAACCCAGACGCAGACTGTTATTCAACAATAACAACATGGATTACGGCGATTCTTGCCAAAGGCCGGACATGACAGATGAGCAATATTTAGCGGCCAAGGCATTGTTTCTGCAAACCCTCAAATCCTTAATAGAGCAAAGGCATGATATCGTAAGGGAGACTATATTGCAGGCGGGAAGCGCCTTGTGGTTGGAGTCACGGAGGCCTTTTGACTGCTTCAAATTTTAGCAAGGTCTGCAAACGAAGCAATAACATAAGTTCTGCAGGTCTTGTTAGAAATTTGCTGTATAAATATTCCATTGACCACGTTGCAGCCATTCAACATGGCAAATCTAAAGAGCGGAATGCATTGGCTCAGGTTGGAAAGGCAAGAACACCTCGTTTTTGAACAATGTGGTCAATTTACCGATGAGGAGCACTTTTTCCTGGGTGCAACACCATTATTTGAAAACGGAATCGTCGAATTAACATGCCCCATCTCAGCATTTGGAATGAACCCCGATGACGCTATAAAAGCCAAAAAAATAAAGTTTTGGAAAATCCGAAATAACGAATTAATAATAAATAAAAACCACGATTGGTGGTACCAAGTAAAAGGCCAACTCCACATCGCAAAGAAACATTTGTGCCTTTTTGCTGTATGAAGAGGGCCTGAGCAACCACTAAAAGTTGAACAAATACATAGGGACGATAGTTTTTGGGAAGACTAAGATGGAAAAAAGGCTTGTAGATTTCTACAATACACGCCTTTTACCATAAATAGTCGATCCAAGAAAAACTCGCTAAATGCCACTGAGAGACACAACATTTTAATTATTTTTTATTTTAACCGATATTGGACATAGATTTAAACTAAATAGGCCGAATGTTTTATCAAATATACAAGCATCTTTTAAAATGTGTACTTTGTATCCCTCGTGGATATAAATAAATTCAAAACATTGAGTAAATATTATAAAAGAAACGAGTATTATCAATTTTAAAATCAAAGTATTTACTTGACGTGTACGTCACGCACTCGTGCTCTGTATTTTATTTATCCCTTTAACATTCCGTTTCTCATATACGGCCTAATATTTAAATTTAAATGTTTTGCATTTACAAAAACTTTGTTTTAATGAAATCACGATGTTTGATTTTCGGGCAAATACCAATAAGACATGTTAAATTTGTCTGTACTCTCTAGCAGACATTAATGACATCGCAGAACGAAAACATTGAATTACTTAAATATATATGCATAGTGTATTTGTCTAACACATTTCTTTTTTATTTTCATTTTATGTTGATTGTAATAAATATACTAAACTACAAAAACATCCCAGACTTTTATTTCTAAACCATACCTACTATGTATCCTAAAATAATTATCAACTAAAGGATCAAAATTGTTTAAGCGAGCACTGCGCTCGGTCTTTAGCCGTGTAATCGAATGTGTAAACGATGCACACAAAGATAGCACCGCAATGAATTTGCCTAAACTCTATCGAATAAATTCTATTAAAAATCTTATTTTTATTTTTATTAATTTCCTCTTCTGGGTTGTCTGGAAGAGATTGCTATGTAGCAATAAGACCGCCTTTTGTTTATCCCTGATTATTTGTTCATTATTTGTATATTTATGTTTTGTTAGTGTACAATAAAGAGTATTATATTGTATTGTAAATTTTCTGCACGGCCTCTTAATATATGATACATGTATATTGCGCGTATTTTACCCGATAGCTCACGAAAAAGGTTTTGCTCCAGTGTGTATTTTCATATGACTTTTAAAACTTCTTAATGTATTACATTTAAAATCACAGATATGACACGAATAAGGTTTATCTTCGGTATGTAATTTCATATGTGTTTTCAAATGACATTTTCTAATACATCTATATTCACAGATATTACATGAAAAAGTTTTATCTGCGGTATGTATTTTCATATGCCTTTGCAAATTACCTTTTATAATACATTTATATTCACAGATATTACACGAAAAAGGTTTTTCTGGGGTATGTATTTTCATATGTGTTTGCAATTGAGTTTTTCGAATACATTTATATTCACAGATATTACAAGAAAATGGTTTTTTTCTGGCATGTGTTTTCATGTGCCTTTGCAAATTACCTTTTATAATACATTTATATTTACAAATATTACACGAAAAAGGCTTTTCTCCGGTATGTACTCTCATATGTATTCGCATATTACTTTTATTAATACATTTATATCCACAGATATTACACGAAAAAGGCTTTTCACCGGTATGTATTTTCGTATGTTTTCGCATACTACTTTTTTTAATACATTTATATTCACAGATATTACATGAAAAAGGTTTTTCTTCGGTTTGTACTTTCGTATAGTATTGCAAATGATATTTATTTGTACATTTATAATTACTATTATAACAGTACACTTTTTCAGCGACGTGCGCTTTAAGATGTGACAAAATGCAACGTTTTTGAGATGTTTTAAATTCGCAAATATCACAATTAAATATTTCCGTTAGTTGTGGTACTGGAGTTTGTTCAACTTGTGTCCAAACTGCATTGTTGTCTGAGTTCTTTTCCGTCTTATGACTGTATGAAATGTGTTTGGCAAGAATATCCTTTGTTAAACATTTTTTACTGCAATCACATTCTAAAAGGTATTTTGTCGATTCCGTTGATGTGTTTTTCGTAAGTATATTTGCACTCTTTTGTTTTAAATTTTTCTTTTTCATAATCTTTGCAGGATCCTTTCTTTTTTTATTAATTGGTTGACTATCTTCTTTCACTTTAGGATTTGATTTAATAGTATTACTTTCTAAATCGAGGTTTCCTTTGTGAACATCGTTTATGTAACTATAAGTAGATTTTGATTTAATCTTTCTCTCAGGCGGTTTTGAAAAATTATTTGCAGGTTCGATGTGTTGTTCTGAAATACACACGAATTATATATTTTATTTATTGCAAGACATTGTATCTTTACTGTAAGTTACCATAAACGGTTTACTATGGGCGGAGTTTATGTCTTGTGACATTCTCTAAAGTATTTTAGCCAATTACTCTAAATAATGTCTCTAATATTCATTTTAGGGAGAAAGAATGGTAGAGAAACTAAATTCATATGATACTGATGATGTTCTTTTGACCAAGTAATAATTACATTAATCTAATAGTTGCTGTTTTTTTATATGACATGGAGCAAACAAGCATGCGGCTCAGCTGATGGTAAGTGCCTGATGGTAAGTGAGCATCGCCGGCCATGAACAACTGCAACACCAGGGGAATTGCAGATGCGTTGCCGGCATTTTAAAAAAGAGTAGGCTCTTTTCTTGAAGGTTTCTCTAAGTCGTATCGGTCCGGAAAATCTTTGGTGGTAGTCGATTCCACAAGGATTCTAAATCGCACAGTGGTTGACTGCAAGTCGTCCAAATTGTATGGATGATATTGCGAGTTTTGTCACAGATTAATAAATAGTTTACCAACAGATACATCACTCTCGTACAAAACCGAAAATACCTACGCTATAATAGCCCACAAAATCTTAATAATATCTGCTGCTCGCAGTGAGAAAAAATGTACTATAAGTACGCGCGTACAAAGAGTCGAGATTGTGTTGCCCTTCGTGCGACATCATCGCACGAATGCGCTAAGGTTGTATCTACGATGATTATTGTAATAAAACGAATGTTGTGAAATACATAACCATACTTTTTATTTGTCAATCAAAAATATTTGAGTTTTATAAAATGATTTATAATTTTTTTTCCTTGTCCGAGTTCTCGGTTATTAAAGGAGGATGGCCAAATCGTACCAGGCAACGAAATGATAGCGTCCCAAAAACAATAAGGGTATATTGCATTAATATTTCATATATTAATGTAAAATACCCTTATTGTTTAAGGTCTTAAAATACACAAGAAATACTTCTCTAAGTAGCGATAAAAAAAAATTATCCTTTTATTTCTATTTTTGTAAATGTTCGAAATTATTTTAAATAATAGTTTCAGAACGCCAAATGACGATTCATTTCGTGTGTGAAAGGACTTGGTATTCAAAGACTACAATTATTCACGTTTTTATGATTAGTTGTTAATTTTAATTCAATTCAATTAGTATGTAGACATCAAATCAACTATTATACTGATTTATTATGTACCGGATTCTTGTCATA